AGTGGAGTCAGCCGCCCTTCCTGATGATGTCAGGAGGAGGGAGCGTGACTTTCACTGCTCTTCTCACAGGACCGCTGGGCAGTCTGGGAAAAGAGCAGAGGAAGTCACGCCCCCTCCTCCTGACATCATCAGAAGAGGCCAACTTCACTGGCTACTGCTGTTTGCTGGTTGCTACTCCTGCTGGCTGCTGCCCATCCCTCCCTGGCCTAAAGTAAGACTCAAGGAGGGGGGAAACACACTTTAGTTTTTTTTTTTATTTTTTTTATCCCCTCCTCAGCCCTGTCCCCCTCGCCAGCCCCTGTCCCCCCTCAGTCAGAACCTGTCCCCTCCTCAATCCCTGTCCCCTACCTCAGCCCGTCACCCTTCCACAGCCCCTTTCCCCTTAGTCAGCCCTTGTCCCCCCTCCTCAGCCCTGTCCCTTTAGTCAGCCCCTGTCTCCCCTCCTCAGCCCCTGTCCCCTTCCTCAGCCCCTATGCGCTTCCTCAGCCCCTATCCTCCTTCCTCAGCCCCTTTCCTCCTTCCTCAGCCCTGTCCCCTACCTATGCCCCTGTCACCCCTTCCACAGTCCCTTTCCCCTTAGTCAGCCCTTGTCCCCCCTCCTCAGCCCTGTCCCTTGAGAGACCCTGTCTCCCTCCCCAGCCCTGTCCCTTTAGTCAGCCCCTGTCCCCCCAGTCAGCCCCTGTCCTCCCAGTCAGCCCCTGCCCCCCTTGCTCAGCCCCATGCCCCCCACCACAGCCTCATAAGATCCCCACTACAGCTCCTCTCCCCCAATTGCAATCCATATCACCCACACCACAGCCCCTTTCCCAAATTGTAGTCATCAACCTGCTTCAGCCCCTATCCCCACCTACATTCCCTAAACCCCCAATTACAGCTTATACCCTCCACTACCACCCCTGTCCCCCCACTACAGCCCTGTCCCCTTACTCAGCCCCTGTCTACTGGTTTTAAAAGTGTAAAGTTTGAGTGTATGTGTGTGTTTGAGTATGTCTGTGTGCGTCAGTATGTCTGTCTGTTTGTGTGCCAGTATGTCTGTCTGTGTGTGTGCCAGTATGTCTGTCTGTGTGTGTGCAAGAATGTCTGTCAGTGTGTGTCAGCCAGTATGCCTGTGTGTGTGTGTGTGTGTGTGTCAGTATGTCTGTCTGTCTGAGTCAGCTGCCAGCCCTCCCCTGCACAATATGCTCTATGTATGAGTTGTCATGAAGACATGGCCTCAGTATGTGTATCCACAATATGTTCTATATTTGAGTTGCCATTAAGACATGGCCTCAGTATATGTATCCTCGGCTTCAGTATATGTGACTGATATCTCTGTATATGAGCTGGTGTGGAGATATAGCACCAGTAGACGTGTCCACTATATGCTCTATGTACGAGTTGCTGAAAAGAAACGGCCTCAGTATATGTGACTGATATTATCTCTGTATATGAGCTGGTGTGGAGATATAGACGTGTCCCCTATATGCTCTATGTATGAGTTGCTGTAAAGACACAGCCTCAGTATCCACCATCCACACAGTGTCAAAGAATTGCTCTTTAATACAGTAAAGGGACCCACTTCTTTTATTTCTTTGGACTTTTTTCACGACCTATGCCGCTCCACACTACAGTGATATGCTTCTTTCAAAACAGTGGCTAAACAATTAGGAAACTATATAGATGGGGACCATGTCGATCCTTATTAGTTGATAGTGGAACGAGGAGGCACAAACTACTAATGGTACCAGAAGATTCAAAATTTGGGCATCTCTACTCCCACTACGTTGAACGCTGAGACATGCTTTACACACACTTAGGATGTCGAAAATATTTCGGTTTTTATCCCGAGTGGTTCCACTGTCCTGGGTAAGGACATTGTTATACACATATTCTGTCCCTTTATTAGGACATAATGTCCACACACATATTTATCTAATTGGTTGATGCTTATTTTTATAATTTCTGCTGAGTAGGTTATTATTCCTACATAATGAAACCCCACTTACATAATATAATTGCTGCTCATAAAATAACTATGCTATTATCCATACTAGCGGGCATTGTGATTTACACCCCCTCCCACTTTAAGGTTACGGATACTTAATATATGACGGATTCCTCTTTAGCCTTTCACCTCTGGGCATACTCACATCTTCTTGTATTTACTGGATCACTGATCTTTAGATTTCTTCTACGTTTTAATATTTTAATATAGCCTGTATAGTTCTTTTATATCTTTATAACAAAAAATGAGTATATCATCATACGGATCGAACATTTGCTACCTTACACTTTTGAGTATTTGTACTTTGTTACTTGCCCAAATTGTTACCGCCTTTTGCCTTTGCATTAAAGTGCTCCACCCGCAATTAACCATTTTAGATGGGCTGCATGTGTTCCTGAACCTGTCTAGGTTTCCCTCCCACTGAAGAGGAGACTGGATTTCCAAAAATGGAGGCTGGTAATGTTCAATAGCAGTTTATAGTGCTTTATGTGTGCACACCTATGCATATACATGAGAGAAGTTGCTACCAAAGAATTTCAATAGCCAGGTACCAACTCTTCATTGATCAAGACAATCAATGTTTGTAAGTTTTATGGCAGTGCTTAACATTAGTATATCTTGTTGATTGCATGTGCACAGCTGAGGTTTTTATGAGCAGTCAACTCTCTGAAACCATCACCTGTCTGTTTTTCATTTGTATGATTTACTTTGTTAAGGGAAACTTGCCTTTGATTTAAAAGTTGTGTAACTTGGCAGATACTGAATGCCAAGGCATTGACTGACAAGGGAGAGCAGAGAAGACTTCGCATAGGAGGTCCTACTGCTCTCCTAAGCGTGGCAACACTGCGGATGCTATCGAAACTCCTTAACTGGTGTTTCTAATGCTGGCTTGGGGGTATAGGAACAGTGTGACATGTCGTCCCTTCATTCCAATGCTGGCAACAAAGCCAGCATGCCGATGTCACTAAGGAGGACAGCTCTGCTTAAGGATGCCACCCTAAGCAGGGCAAATCAAAGAAGGCAGCAGGTGGTATGAAGAATGGCCCGCAGGTGAGTGTTACATGAAGAGGTGCTGGAATTGAGGAAAGGTGAAAAAATTGTAATGAATACATCAGGTATCCTTGTTATATAGGGTGTATTCAATGTAAATGGGATTATTTATGGTAAATTTATTTTTTACTGTAGCTTAATTTTGCACAGGCAGTTTTTTGGGGGACTTTTCTCTAGTGTCTCTCCAAGCAGGACACCATATAAATAAAAAAAAAAAAAAAATTGGTTGGAATGTATTTCCTGGATAGCTATGTAAGAATGTATTTAATGTAAGTTTCCTTGTTCCTAGTTTGTTCCTGTTTCCATTAGTCAATAAACAAGACATTTTATTCTAACAGTGGAGATTATCTCTGCCTTTGCCATATATTCACTGGAGTCTGGCTTTAGGTTTCCAAAGACTGCAAATCTGTACTAAATGGTGAATAAAACTGTTTAGTAGTGATGAAGGATTAGCATCTTCAGACTTCACACAACATGTACACATCAATCAGTTGAAGTGGTTATGGTGCCTACATTGTTCCTTTAATTGAAAGTAGAAACGTTTTTAATCACATATATTTGGCACACTTCTTCTACTATTATTATACTGCCTTCTTAGAGCCCACAAACTACTATCTTGGTTATTTCAGCATAGTGCTTCTTAACCCCTGTGACACAGAATAGGTCCTCTTAGATACATTTACAAATGAATGCCATGTACAGAATTTGGCACCCTGACAAACAAAGTTTAAGATCCACTGCTTTAACAATGCACCAGTTCAAAATAAACGGAGAAAACTAATTTACACATCATTGTAATCCAGTATCTACCTTCTTCCAACGCTTCTACTGCTTCTGCTTCTCTCCTCCTGCGAACAGCTCTTTGCTTCTCCTCCAGTCTCTGTTTCTCTACATTAGCTTCATCCCATTTACCATTCTCCATCAATAGCTGGTCTGGCCGATGTCGGCTGTCTGTCGGGGCCACATCATCCTCAGGCTCATTGAGTGTCAGAGCGAGCTCAGAGAAATAGTACATATTCTCTGCATTTTCTCTACAGTAGGACAGGGAACAAAATGTATTTATTAGTGCTTAAACTAGAAGAGGAAACTGGCAGCTCTTTGCATGATTTTGAACTAAAACAACATTTTCCTCTTTACTGTTTGCTTCAGCATCACAATGCAACAGACCACTGTTATTCAGATTACTATACTTCAGTTGTTAGTCACAACTTTTATTTTTTGCTTGACTTTTGACACTGAATTGCATTATTGTGTTTACTCCCACCAAAATGACTTAAGTGATCAGTTCTAAGGACATTCTAAATGGGACGATTTCACAAAGGCAGTAAATAAAGAGAAACATTGCTTGAAAAACACTGTTCCAACCAGGGCTTTGATATTACATGTGTATTTGTATGAAATAATGAGAAAGACCTGCAAAAATACATTTTCATTCAGAAGTCTTCCTCTTTTCCATAGGATCTCTGTATTCATAAGAAAGGTACAGAATACACATATGCAGTATACTAGTTTCTGATTTTGTGGCACTTACGGCAGAGGGTATTTCTTCCATAGCAGCTTTGCAGACAGTGTCTGGTAGACGGTTTTTTGCTTGCCCTCTGCACTGCTGTTGCCTTGGCTGCTATGCACAATCTTTGCACACTCAATCTTCTCATCCCAGGTCCCTGATAGAACATAATGTGCTTTTCCATTTGCATCAGACACCACCCCAGTGACCTGTAAGAACACATGAAGCTTGGTTACTGCAGGCCTGGCATACCATATGTAGCCAGTCTTAATTTATAAAAAAAAAAAAGATTGCACTAGAGCTGCAAAGTTCTGTGCAAGGGTGGCAGACCAGGGCGGTCTACGGGCTTAACCCTACTAATATAAAAAACATCATATACAAACACAAAGATAAAGCACCGCGCTTACAGCAACAGTAGCTTAGTATCCAACAGCTCAAAATACATGGTAAAAACAAAGAGAACGTTACCTGCACTCTGGCCTAAATCCCTATGTACTCTTTAGCCTCCATTTTGTTTAAATGTACGTAGGGATTTAGGCCAGAGCGCAGGTAACGTTCTCTTTGTTTTAACATAAAAAAAACATGTTCATGTTGAGATCCCGTGAACAAGGCAGTAGCCGAAATGTAGCAATTGTAGTCTCCAGCCTTCGGTCAGGATATGTTTTTTTTTTTACCCTGAATGGGTAACCTGTTTATGTACTTTATTACTGGCATAGTTGTTAATGAATAGTGTGCACATGTATGAAGTGTATCTTATGTATGCACTTTGTATTTGTTCACATATGATTGGACTTATTATAGAAACATAGACATAGAAACATAGAATGTGACAGCAGATAAGAACCATTCGGTCCATCTAGTCTGCCCAATTTTCTAAATACTTTCATTAGTCCCTAGCCTTATCTTATAGTTAGGATAGCCTTATGCCTATCCCACCCATGCTTAAACTCCTTTATGAAATAAAGATTCACTTTTTGTCATATTTTAGTGTGCTGTGGGTTTCTTATAATAAACAGATTTGGATATTACCAGGCTAGACGTTCCTAGAATTATTCTCGGTTTTAGTCTATTATTTTCAGTCTTAATTTATACCTATTATACAGTACATTGTTTCCAGTGGTATTCAATTCACAGAACAGTGTTTATAATACTGCTCTAAAGATATCATTTGTTTAATTAGACCAAGGGATAGTTATGGAAGAATGATTTCTTAAGGTTTTGTGCCCAAAGGGGACATCTCAAAGTCAAACATGAGATTTCCAGTCTTTTTTTCTTTTAAATAGAATTTATAGGCGAGAATATGCAGAACTTATATGGCATATTCCCTACTCAAAACAGCGAGGTGCACTTACCTACCAATGAGGACAAACCACATTCTGTGCAAACAATAATTGCGTACTGATCACTTTAATGTGACTATTTGCATTAATATGAGTTGCCTGCCAATATGTAGCAGGAATGTGTATGTAGTCCACCAACACTCCATATGCACATGCTGGGTAACTCCTAACTATTAACTATTATATTTTGTCTTTCTCTCATAAAAGGCTAAGATAATGACTTGTACAGCAGCCACATATATGCTGCTATAAGTGGCTTCTTTTCACAAAAACCATGAAAGACAAGCTGAGCTGGGCGTTCCATTCATGTCTTTTCATGAATAAAGCCATTCACATTTGTGAACTACATATCCCACAATCCAGGAGAGGGAAAGGAAAGCAATTGAAATTCAGAGGCGAGTATATTTGACATTTTCTTGTATATGCCAGACCATGCATTCCCTTTTTAAGAATGATGTAAAAAATGTTGGTGCAATTATCAAGTAGATAAAAAACAGAATCAGACAGTTATTGGTACACAGGTTTAAGTGGGGTAACCCCAAATGTAAACTATATATAGAAAGAGGGGTAGTGTACCAAACTGGGGGAGCTGGAATGCCAATTTTTAACATTCTTGTATTAATAAAGTATTTTTTATTTTCTATATTAGATATCGAGATTTTTCTTTATCAGGATTGATTACTTGTGCCTATATACTTGTTATCCATGCCAGCTCCCTCAATTTGGTACACTACCCCTCTTTCTATATCAAGTAGAGAGAAAAAGCAGGTTTGCTATATGTGTCTATGCCAACCTCTCCCTTCCTGAGAAGATATTCACTGAATCTAAAGAACATATTTCTGTTCCTGTGATGAAACATATAATCTCCCCCCATGTCTTTATCTCCATGTCTCCAGTAGGTTTTACCTCCCAATTAACACAGACAGAATGACTTCTAAGAATACACCCCTATATATATTGATCTCTATGTCCTGCAGCACACAGCATTAACTACAAGTCAGAACCATCAAGCTCCCTTCACACTCAATGTGTTGGGAACAACACTATTTATCCACTATTTACGCAATGTTCCCAAAGAAGGGGTGTTATTGATGTATATTGCCAAATTGCTGGCATTTCCTTGTATTAACAGAAGTGAAGTGTCAGTTTTCTGTTGGGATTATTTATCATTCTTCTTATTGAGACACAAGTAAAGTATAGCAAACAAGCTGGCTTGACATCAAGCCGTCAATATTTATTGAGCAAAAATAAAATACAAGAGAGCCAATTCTAGCTATCTATGGATTTATATTACTTATTAACATGGCAATTCCCGCTTCGGAGCTACACCAAGGACATCCATCCTCATAAATAAATACATATACTTCTACAGGCACTACTGAAACCAGGTCTGAGAGGGATTTTCTACTGAACGGAATAAAGATCAGGAAAAACAATCGTTTTCAAACTTTTAATGGGTAGCAGATAGCAAATATACAGTCCAGGGAGCAGGAGACCCTGTACACTGATTTAATAGAAAGTCTGGGTTTTTCAGACACGCTTCAGCTTGTAAGAATATTCTCTCACAGGGCTTCAGTTTGTCATCACTGAAATAGAAGATCTGACCTCTGTTTCTAGAGGGGAGACGTTATCTAGGGCTCTTTGTAAACGGAGTTCTGGAGGATAACACTCTAGTTTACAGTTAACACAATTGTTTTCGTTTACATGCAGATACAAAACAGAGACTACATTTGCAATATGAAATATACAGAGATTAAATTAATAAACCTTTAAGCACAACATTATTTTTATTTCAATTTTGATATATTTGGTACACATTGCTATTAATGGTAATTAGTGTGGCTATTTTTTTTTTTTTAAACATTTTTATTCTGGCAAAATGGTTCAATAAACATTTGGTATGTAACAGTCTTTCAGGCATAATTTCAAATACAGAAAATAAATTATAGCCTCATTTATAAAACAAAACATTAAAACTGTGACCCAAACCCCATATTTTTTTTTCTTCATAATTTATTAGTACTTCATGAAATGTATTTTTTCAACTTTATATTAAACATCATTAGCAATAAGTAGAATCATTGTTTTTCTTTTTTTTTCTTTTTTTTAAACCTTATTTAGTAAGATGTCAGGAAAATCAAGCAGACATACAGTTCTATACAATTTTACAACATCTAAGCCACCTAGATAGTTTTCATTTGTAAAATCACTCATCAAAAAGGAGTGTAAAGAAGAGTAAGAAAATAGGTAGTAAGAAAAGGGGGAAAAGGACTTTATGTGTCAGAGGAGAAATAGACTATACTGTGTCAAATATTTCCGTGGTATAGGCTGTCTTGTCAAGAGCCCCAAACATTTTGAAAGGATCTGAGTGTACCTTGGACTTTGGATGTCAATTTGTCCATCAATATCAGAGTGGGATAGCAATCCATATTCACGCGTCTGCAAAAGCCTTGCATGGTTCTGATGTGATTTTACTGATCAATCTGTTCTCATGGGGTTTATAGGAATATACGGACTTAGACAGGAGGACCAACAAAGGGGACAGACCTATGTGATTGGAAAGAATTTTTGACAGCACTGTTTGAATGGTGACCCAAAATGTAGCTATTTCAGGCAACGCCACCACATTATAAAACCTTATTAGAAAAGAGCAGGACTACAGGGATAGAAAATTCTAGCCCTGGAGTCAAGTAGGACTGGGTGGGTAAATAGGGCCTAACTCTAATTTGAACAAACTGGAAAAAGAAAAGAAGTAGTCCCCAATATAAAGAAACTGGGGATACTAAATCTCAAATAATGACCCCCACTAGAATATAGATTTCATTTCTATTGGTATAAAAATGTCAGTATATGCTTTATTGATAACTAACATCACATACTACATACATAAAGTGGCAAACAAAAAAGAAAATAGTGATAAAACGTGATTGTGAAAAAGTGATGATAAAAAGGGGGCAACTATATAGCCCGCCAAATTAGGACTCTCAATATAAATCCCTTTGAATAGATACCGACTGTAATCCTTCTGTTTCACTATCAAAATCATAGTCATTAGAGACTGTGTATAAATTGTATCTATTCTGCCTCCCATAGCTGTAATATTGTCTTCTGGTTAGAAGGCTACAAAATAGCAATGCCAGTATAGTTGCAATAATCTGTGGGGGTCAGGGGAAGGGAATAGAATGTGATATAAAGAGAAAGATATTCAACAATCCGCTTTAATGCTTTTGAATTAGGAGGTAACTCATACCCTCTCTGATACCCCTCTAATACCCCCAATAAAGACTATACTGATGTTTTTATACCAATAGAAATGAAATACTATACTAGGGGTAATTCTTTGAGATTTGGTATCCCCGGTTTCTTTTTATCGGGACTACTTCTCAAAGTTTCTTTTCCTTTTTCAACATTATAAAGCCTGTCCCTGTAGAACAAACATGTCAAACTCAAAGGCTAACACAGGCCACATAAAAAAAGTTTAAATTTATGCGAAAAAGAAAACAACGTCAGTTTTCATAGAAACGTGGAATTATTTAGAAAAGTACAGTAAAAAAAAACAAAAAAAAACCTAATGGACACTAGACGTCCTCATGCTCGTAGGTCTTCAAAATAAACAAAAGAGTGGATTTATTTTAAGAAAATGTGCATTTGCACATAACGAATGTTTCAGTCCAACTACCTCGACATACAGGGCCGGACTGGGGATTCCAAAGCAGCCCTGGAAAAAAAAAAATCTATGCCAGCCCCATAAGTCATTGCGCCATATATTGTCGCATGTAATATGTAAGGCTATGTCTTGCCACCCTAGATGATTAAAAAAAAAATAAAAAAAAATATATATATATATATATATATATATATATAGAGCTTTTTCCAATATAAAATATTGGTCCTTTCAGAGGTAAAATTTTTAATTATACAGTAAGCATACTCACATGCAGACACAGACAATCTCACTGACACAAGCTGATTGATACACAGCTTTATAGACAAACAATCTCACTGATATACATAAGGTCACTGACATAAAAACACAAGCCCACTCACTAGCAGGCGCGCACACACACACAGCTTAATGTAGTGGCCCTGGTGTCTATAGCCTGTCCCTGCAGGCTTTTCAATCTAAACACTGACTTTTTAGAGAAAAGGCAGTGTTTACATTGCTTCCTACTGACAGACACTCAGACGGTCACTAGAGGTGCTTCCTGTGTCAGTGCGG